GGGAGGAGAAGGATAAGTACATAGTGAGTGAGTGGGACCTGCAGCGGGGGGGACAGTCCTGGGGGCTGCATGCAGGCTGACTGTGTTCTTGCAGCTCTACTCCCATGCTGTGTCAGCCAATGGGCAGCCTGTGGAGGACCCCATGGAGATCATCATCACCGTCACTGACCAGAATGACAACCGGCCCGTCTTTACCCAGCAAGTCTTTGTTGGCTACATCGAGGAGAACGCCAAGCCGGGTGCGTGGGGAACTCTGAGCTGGGACCACACAGAGCCCCGAGCAGGGGCAGTTCCAGGGTGTCCAGTGGGTTCTGTCTCATGAGTAAAATCTCCCTGGCTTGTCCCGATGTCCAGGCACATCCGTGATGACCGTGAGTGCCACGGATGCAGACGATGCGGTCAACGTGAACAATGGCATTATCAGCTACTCCATCCTCAGCGAGGAGCCCAAGGGCATGCAGGAGATGTTCACCATCAACCCCGAGAAGGGCATCATCAGCGTCATCGGCACAGGGCTGGACCGGGAGGTGGGTGCCCTCGCCATGTCCCAGGGGAACCTGCGGCACCTCTGCAGAGGGACATGCCAAGGGGAGACTGGGGATGTTGAAATCCTGGGGTGCGTCCAGTTCAGGGACTTGACATCCCTGGGTCACCATCCCCAGCTCTGGGGGTATCTGCAGCCCTGAGCCCATCAGGGGCTGTGCTAGGGACACTGCATGGACCCCCGGCACTGCTGAGCCATGAGTGCCATCACAGGGACTCCCAGTCCTGCTAAGCCCCAGGAGCAGGCACATGCCAGCCCCTCGGATGGGCAGTGGGGACGTCGACGGCATCTGTGCCAACAGGGAACAGTGAAGCCAAAGAAGGGTGGAGGTGCAGGCAGGCAATACCCAGAGGAGGGGATCATCCTGGCCCCACCCCTGCCCTAACCTGTGTGATTTTGCCCTGCAGACCACTCCCAACTACACACTGATCATCCAGGCTGCAGACCAGGAGGGCTTTGGCCTGACCAACACTGCCACTGCCATCATCAAAGTCACTGACACCAATGACAACCCTCCTGTCTTCGACCCCGACATGGTACCCCCCGGCCCCACAGCCACTGCTCTCCCTGGGCATCGTGGCACAAGCCCCCACACAGGGTGCTTGAGGCCACAGGGGTGACCATCACTGTCCCCGCTCTTGCAGTACGAGGGGTCAGTGGATGAGAATTACCCTGGGGTGGTGGTGGCTCAGCTGCACGTGACAGACCAAGACATGCCAGGCTCCCCGGCCTGGAAGGCCGTCTACCGCATCCAGAGTGGGGACCCGATGGGTGACTTCAACATCACCACTGACCCCAAAACCAATGATGGGCTCCTGAAAACCGCCAAGGTGGGTACCAGTCTCATGTGGCCACCTCAGCACCAGCCACCTCCCCTCTGGCACCACCCAGCTTCTTTCCCTCCCCCAGGGCCTGGATTACGAGACCCAGCAGCAGTACCACCTTGTGGTGGTGGTGGAGAATGAGGTCCCCTTCTCCGTGCCCCTGAGGCCTGCCACGGCCAGTGTCCTGGTGACAGTCAGGGATGTGAACGAGCCCCCCATCTTCGTGCCCCCGGTCAAGAAAGTGGAAGTGAGAGAGGATGTGCCAGTGGGCTACCAGGTCACCTCCTACACAGCCAAGGACCCTGACAAGGACCAGAGGCAGAAAATCACGTGAGTGAAGGGTGACAGTGGCAGAGGGCTGTGCTGGGGTGCATGAGGGGTTGTGCTGCATTGAGTGTGCCTTCATCTCCCCCTGCTGACCACTGGCTCCCCCCAGGTACCGCATGGGCAGCGACCCCGCGGGGTGGTTGACCATTGACCCCGAGACTGGCATTGTCACAGCGGCACAGCCACTGGACCGGGAGTCAGCGCATGCCATCAACAGCACCTACAAGGCCATCGTCCTGGCCATGGACAGCGGTGAGGGTGACGGCCGTGCCCTGGGGAGGGGGCTGCTGCACCTCTATCCCCCCGTGGCTCCTGGGGCCCCTCCCTGGGTGCCTCACTGACTCTCAGCCCCACAGGGTCACCACAGGAGACTGGCACAGGGACACTGCTCCTCCTCCTCCAGGATGTGAATGACAATGGGCCTGTGCCAGAGCCCCGGAACTTTGACATCTGCAACCGGCAGCCTGAGGAGCAGATACTGAACATCGTCGACAGGGATCTGCCCCCCAACACCTTTCCCTTCAGGGCAGAGCTGGTGCACGGCTCCAGCATCAACTGGACTCTCAAGATGACTCCACCAGGTGGGTGCCATCTGTGCTGGTGCAGGGCCCATAGTGGGCATTAGGCTGGGGAAGTGCCACAGGGCAAAGTCCTGTGCTGGTGCCAAGGCTGACCCTAAACCAGAGCTGGGGGAGGGTCTGGAGCACCAGGAGTGGTTGAGGGAGCTGGGGGGGCTCAGCCTGGAGAAAAGGGGCTCAGGGGGAACCTTCTTGCTCTCTCCAACTACCTGACATGAGGGTGGAGCCAGGTGGAGGTCAGGCTCTGAACCTCGGGAACAAGTACCAGGAAAGAGGGAGCGGCCTCAAATTGTGCCAGGGGAGGTTTAGGTTGAATATTGGGGAAAATTCATTCATGGAAAGGGTTGTCAGGCACTGGAACAGGCTGCCCAGGGCAGTAATGGAGCCATCATCCCTGTCTCTGGGGGATCTAAAAGCCATGTGGACGTGGTACTTGGGGACATTGGTTAGTGGTGGCCTTGCCAGTTCTGGGGGAACAGTTGTACTCAATAATCTTGTGGAGGCATTTTCCAACCCAAACAATTCCGTGATTCACCAAGACCTAGTGAAGCTGAACATGAGGAAGGAGCTGGAGCCAGGGGAGTACAGCGTCTTCCTGAAGCTGCTGGACGCCCAGGGCAAGGATCAGATCACACCGGTCAAAGCACAGGTCTGCAGCTGCGAAGGGCCAGCCAAAAACTGCGAGCGCCGAGCATATGTCTCCGGGGGCATGGGCGTCCCCGCCATACTGGGCATCCTGGGGGGCATCCTGGCGCTGCTCAGTGAGTACCATGGGAAGGGGACGGACAGGACAGGGACAGGGCTGCCCTTAACCTGCTGCCCTGATACCCTGTCCCTCTGCCCACAGTCCTGCTGCTGCTGCTGCTGCTTTTCGCGAGGAGGAGAAAGGTGGTGAAGGAGCCACTGCTGCCTCCCGAGGACGATATGAGGGACAATGTCTACCACTACGACGAGGAGGGTGGCGGCGAGGAGGACCAGGTGGGATGGCTGTGCCTACCAGCCCCTGCCTGCTGGGTACCAGTGGTGGTGTCTGTGGTTGTCCCTTGAGCCTTGTCTCCTCGTGTCCCCCCAGGACTATGACCTGAGCCAACTGCACCGCGGGTTGGATGCCCGTCCTGAGGTGATCCGCAATGACGTGGCCCCCCCACTGATGGCTGCCCCCCAGTACCGGCCCCGGCCTGCCAACCCCGATGAGATTGGGAACTTCATCGATGAGGTGAGTCCTGAACGAGAGAGTCCAGGAGGTGACACCCCCATCCATCCCAGCACAATTGGGGTGCCCCCAGTGCAGGGTGGACAGGCACTGACCCCTCCACCCCCCAACAGAACCTGAAGGCGGCCGACACGGACCCCACAGCTCCCCCCTACGACTCGCTGCTGGTGTTCGACTATGAGGGCAGTGGCTCGGAGGCCACCTCACTCAGCTCCCTCAACTCTTCCAACTCCGACGAAGACCAGGACTATGACTACCTCAACGACTGGGGCGGCCGCTTCCGCAAGCTGGCTGAGCTCTATGGTGGCGGGGAGGAGGACGATTAGGGACTCCCAGCTGCCCCCGCCTCATTTCACCCCTCTGGACTCACTTCGGTCTCTGCCCAGGGGTGGCCAAACCCCCCTCCAACACCCGCTCAACCCAGTGCCCGCATTCCCCTCGCTGAGGGAGGATCGGTGTCACCGTGGATGGTGGGGTTTTTGGGGAGTCTGCGTGTTTCCTGGCCCCCTTGGCTCAATTTGGGCCATTTCCCACCCTGGAGCTGAGGTGCTCCCAGCTGAGGAGGTCAGGATCAGCTCCTCCCTCACTTTTCTATGGACAAAAAGGGTTTCTCTGGCAGTCTTCAAAATACCTCGTGCTCCCATCCCCACACAGCTGCTCTCCCACCGCGCTCCAATCATGAACCCAGCGCTGGAGCAGTGGGGTGAAGTGCTCGATCGACACAGACCAAAGATACGCCCTCGCAGGGAATTGTATTTGCTGGAGTATGTACAGGCAGATTTCTATTTTTCTGTATCCCAGATTATGGCTTGATTTCCTCCTGTATCATGCCAGGTGTAATTAGTGTGCAGTCAATGAAAGGTGCTTTCAGAAATCAAAGGGCTTTCCCGAAATCCTGACCCTTGTGTTTAGCTGTTGTTTGTATTTTTTTATCATGAAAAAAGGGTCTGATGTGACCTGGGAAACCAGCCTTGGCCAAGTGTTGATTGTATTGTTTTTATATAAAATTGAAATAATAAATTCTTTTAGGAAAACCTCTCTGCGCGAGGCTCTGTTGGTACTAAAAGGCTTTACCTCCCCCACAGTTGTAGCCATGGCCCCCTCCAAAAGGCAGGTGGGAAATTAGTCATGAAACATCATATTCCAAATTCCCTGCCAGGGGCAGGGACACCTTCCACTAGATGAGGTTGCTCCAAGCCCTGTCCAACCTGGCTGTGATGGCCACAGATGGCCACAGCTTCTCTGAGCAATCTGTGCCAGGGCCTCACCACCCTCACAGCCAAGAATTCCTTCTCAGTATCCCATCCAACCCTGCCCTCTGTCAGTGGGAAGGAATTCCCATTGTCCTGTCACTCCCCCCCCTTGTCCCAAATCCCCCTCCAGCTCTCCCGGAGCCCCTTTAGGCACTGGGATCGGCCCCACCCTTTCCCCGACCTCCCCAGGATGGCGGCGGGCGGTGCGGCCCCGCCCCTCGCTCGACCTTCCCAATATGGCGCCAGAGCCTGGTCCCGCCCCTTCCCTTCACCCCCAAGATGGCGTGTACCGCTGACAGCGACCCCAACATGGCGGGCGGCGCAGACCCGGAGCCGGAGCCGGGGCGCGTAGTGGAGGCGCTGGAGTTGCTGCTGCGGCCGTCCAGTGACCGGGACAGCGCTGCCGAGGCTGCCCAGGAGCCCACCCTGTGCTCGGAGACGCTGCGCAAGAACGCGGCGGCGCTGGAGGAGCGGCTGTCGCGGGCGGCGGGCTGGGCCTCGCTGAGTTCCCTACGGGCGGCCGTGCTGTCCTGCAACCCCGCGCTGGCGGCTGGGGCGGCGGGCGCGGAGCCGGGCTGGGCGGCGGCCTGCGGGTTGCTGGTACTGCTGCTGTGCCTCAAGGAGCGCTTGGCCGCGCTCGCCGCCGCCCCTGCCGCCGCCGCAGCCCCCGGCGCGCCGCCTCCGCCCGCCGCCGACACGCTGAGCGCGGGGCAGACGCGGGCGGTGCAGCGGGCGCTGCGGGCCGCCGTGGGGCTGGGGCTGCTGCCGCATCTGCCGCCGGGGCTCGGGCCGTGCCCCGGGCCACCCTCGCCACCTCCCGGCCCCCGCGGGGCCCGCCTGCTCGCTGCCACCGCCGCCCTGGCCGAGCTGGCCCGGCTGCCCGCGCTGGGCGCCCCGCTGCTGGCCCGCCACCTCCGCCTGCTGCTCGCCGGGCTCTGCGTGCTGGGACACGGCCCCGCCGCCCTCTGCCAGGTCCGTGCGACACTCGCCCCCTCGTGTCCCCGCTCTCCCGGGGCTGGCGTGGGTGCCCAGCCGAGCCCCAGCCCCTTCCCCGGGGCCGAGCCCCGGGCTGGTTGCCTCCCTCCCATGTCTTGCCCGTAATTCCCCACGTGAAAGAAGCTGCAGGGGCTATGGAGCCCCAGAAGGGGCTAGAGGGCACCGGATCAACCGGTGGGTTTAGTGCCCAGCCAGGCTGCCCTCACCACCCCGGAGTGTTTTGTTGCAGGGCATTTCGGAAGCGGAGCGGGCGCGGTGCCGGGAAGCCCTGCAGGACATCCTGGACCGTGTTTACCAGCCACTGGCAGTGCAGGAGCTGCTCGTCCTGCAAGGTCCGCCCAAGCAGGTACCCAGCGGTTGAGGGCCATCAGGGTGTGTAGTACCTGTGTTCCCACAGTCCGAGGGTGCTGCTCTCCTGGAAATGTTCTTACACTTTAGAAACCAGTCCTGGAGCACTGATGAAGCTGCCAGGTGTGTGTCATTCCAGCCCTGCCATGCAGGGGTGCGTAGGTGGGTGTGAACCCAGGGACTGTCATCACGGCACGTTCCACCTTGGCTTTGCACCCATATCCACTGTGCCCGGCCAAGTGGAGCTCCTGCTCCTCCAGAACCTGCCCCTTCCCACTCATGGGGTGACACAGGGCACTCGCTGCTGTTTGGGGCCATTCCAAAGCCTTGTGAGGAGGAGGAGATGGGAAATCTCCTGAGAGTTGTTTTTGGAAAGTCTCTAAGGGATAATAATAGAATCCTGGAATGGTTTGGGTTGGAAGGGACCTTAAAGCTTATCCCATTCCAACTAGACACCTTCCCATAGACCAGGTTGCTCCAAGCCCCATCCCACCTGGCCTTGAACACTGCCAGGGATGGAATAACATGCTGAGCACTTGAGGACTGACCAAAAGTTAAGGAATGTTGGTTTGATGGTACTTGTAGGTCCCTTCCAGCTGGCCTGTCATTAATTCCTAATTTGCTTTGTGCCACTGGCTGAAGCAGCAGTTCAAAGCCTGTCCGTGTCCTGTGCTCTTTGGCAGGACACAGGCTGTTTGCCCATCCATGGGATTTGCACAAGAGTGTGCAAATACACTCCTTACCCTGCTCCTGTGTTCCTTTCCAGAGTGCTCCATGTCCCCAGGCAGGCCTGGGGCCAGCTCCAGCCTGGCTGCGGCGGCTCTGTGGGCGCCTGCTCTCTGAGAGGCTGCTCAGGCCCAACGGGGTGCAGGCTGTGGTTCGGGGTGTCTTGGAGGGCACAGGAGGTGAGTGGGGGCTCTGGGCCTCCAGGATCACAGATTCAGAGATGTCTGGAATGGTTCATCCCACAAGAGGCCCAGCAGGGCAGAGCCACCAGAGTACGGACGTGGCAATCAGCTTTTGCCAGGCCAAGATGACTCAGTGACACACAGATTTTGCCTCTGACTGTGGTGAGCTCCCAGACTGCCCTAATTTAGGGTACGCTGTCATTTTTGAGGCCTACACTGAAAACCTCCAACACCATTTAGCTGTTTATGCCTCCATGGTGTCACGCCTCATGTGTGTCCAGAGTGTGGTCTGTCCCAAGGAGTGCCCTGTCCCAGTGCCAGTGCAGTGGGAGCCATGCTGGACTCTGGGCTGTGGGAGCTGCAGGGACAATGAGACCCATCCCCTGCTTTCCATGTCCTGGCAGGGAGGGAAACTGTTGCTATCCAAAAATGAATCCCACAGATATTAGTGCCAAAGCCTCCTCTAGCCAACACCAACCTGATGGCACTTCCAAGCATGACCTCCCTCCACCTTTTGTCCACCTGTCCGTAGGAGTTGTTTTCCATTATCAAAGCTCTTGCACAGGAATTTTCCCCCTTCTGTCTTTAAGTTCAGGTGTCTCCTGAAAGATGGTTGGTTTAATGACAGCAATAAAAGCTCAAAATCCAATTTTTGGCCAGGAACACCTGGCTTCAACCAGAGCTGGCCGCCGGTCAGAGCTGATCCAGAGTTTCTGCTGCTGCAGGTGGTGCTGGCGCTGAAGCAGCAGCTCTAGACTGGAGGAAATGTGACGCAGTTGCAAAGATCCTGGCTTCCTGCCCACAGCAGTGCCTCTCCCTTGAGGACTACTACAGACAGGTGTGCCCCCAGGTAAGTCCCTCGTCCCTTCTGCCTGGGAATGCAGAGCCAACTCCAGCTTGGAGGGTATTGGGACCGCCCTTTCTGCTTGAGCGTGGCCTGGCTTGAGCCAGCATAACGTGGAGATGTTTTTCTGGCAATGGGTCACGTTTCCACTCTTGAATTTTCCATGTTTTATTGAAATGCTGGATGATGTTGATTGTACGAGCTGCTCGACACTGCACTACACAGAGCTCTGTGTGGAGCTCTTGTTTCCAACCTTTGGCTCTGGGAGTGGTGCAGGCTCTTGGTTTGAGCCCAGAAAAGCATTCTGTGTGTGTGGAAAGGACACTGGCTCTTCCATACTTGGAATATCATGCCAGATGACCAGCAAAGGAGCACATGGACGGGTCCTTGTTCTCTGCCAGGAGCCAGGCTGCCCCCTCTGAGGGCGTGCTGATCCTTTTTCCTTTGTCATGGACTTTCCTTGCAGATTCTGGACTTGCTGCACATCCAGGACAAAGTGGCAGCACGGCAGTTCCAGCGTGTGGCCACCACCACGGTGCTCACCATGGCCAGGGAGCACCCACAGCTGGCAGAGAGGCACCTGCTCCAGCCACTGCTGTCCCCGCTCCTGCGGTGCTCTGAGGCAGCAGGTACCACATCCGGGAACGGTCTGGTTTCTTTCCTCACTGATTTTTGTCATTCCATCGGAATTTCTTTGGGCTACAGACCATGTGAGCTCAACTGTCCATACTGGCCACGTCTGTCTGTGTGGTTACATCATATTTACTGCCACTTGAGCCAAGTTACTCCAGCGTGGGAGCTGAGTGCTGTGGCTCCTGCCATGGGCTCCTTGGGAAGCTCTCCCAGTCTGACACCCTTGGTTTGGGCTTCCAGACAGAAGCCATAGGTTCCCGACCCAACCGGCAGCTCTCCAGGGAATCATTCATCATTGTGAATTGTGGTCTGCCTTGATTTCCATGTGTCCTTAGGGGTTTGCAGCACAATTAGGACAGCTAACGAGGGCTCCTCTGTTCCCATGGGGAGGGGAGAGAAGGGAAGGGAGCCATGGAAGTGTTTTCGGGTGCAGGGTATGGCAGGGCTGCTCTGCTGCTGGGCGCTCTGGGGTGCTTTAGGGTGCTGATGTCTCTGCCCTTTGCTTCCAGAGCTGGCAGTGGAGGATTTGGCAGCAGGGACCATGCTGGTGCCAGAGGCAGAGCTGGGTAGCTGCGTGGAAGATGTGCTCAAGGTACCATGTCTAATCTGGGAGAGAAAACTCTGAGAAAGAGCTGGTTTGAGACTTTGTGAGCAGTTCAGTGTGTGTTGGATCAGACAGACCCGGCATCTCCTGCAGTCATGCCAGACTCACCTCATCCTCATCTTCAGGAGTACCTTGGCCTCCATGTGGGCTGTGCCAGGGCCTCATCACCATCACAGGGAAGAATTCCTTCCCAATATCCCATCTAACCCTGCCTTGTGGCAGGGAGAAGCCATTCACCCCTGTCCTCTCGCTCCAGGCCCTTGTCTAAATTCCTACTCCAGATGTCTTGGAGCCCCTTAGGCACTGGAAGGGTCTTTTAAGTCACTGGAGCACAGATCTTGGCTTTCATGTTTGGGGGAGAGATGGGGTCCATCCTTGTGTTCCCTATGAAGGATCAGGGTTTTTTGTGGAGGCTTCTCCTCTGACACCTTCCTTCATAGCGCCATTTCCTACCATTCCCACCAGTATCCCCATTGCCACACTGCAGGCTCCCCTGCCTGCCCTGACAGCAGCTTCCTGCTGCATGTTCCAACCCAGAAGGACATCTCCAACCCTGGAATTCAAATTTCAGAAGCTGGTGACTTGGTTCCTGGCATGCCCTGAGGCAGGCTAAGCTCTTAAATGCTGAAATTGTTGTCTGTTTTCCCAGGAATGATCTGTTGTAACTGGCTGGCAGGCAGAGACTGGTCTGGAGGGCTGCTCCCTCCCAGTGCCGTGCTGGGGGGGTTGGGGTGGGTCCCTCCTTAATGGCAGAGTGCTGGAGGCCTGACAACAGCCAGATTAGTGAGGGGACCCTGGATTTGGGGAGGTTTCTTGTCTAACAAGTGTCATTTGATGCTGAGTGAGAAACCATCCTTGGGGCTTCATCAGGGAGGCTTTGTGTACACAAGGGTCTGGGGAGGAGGAATGGCTCCGTGGGGATTAGCACAGGGAAACAGGTCTGTTTGCATCAATGGAGCAGGGCAGGGTGTTATCAGGGCCATCTCCCTCCTACCTGGGCTGTCACACTGCCTCAGGCAGGTCTGTCTCCAGGGCATTTCTAGCCCTGGAGTGGGGATTGTGAAGGAAGGTCAAAGGTCCAGGTGTGGGTTGTGGGAAGTCAGAAGTGTGGGGAACAGGAGGTCAAGGGTGTTGAGAGGAGGTTGGAGGTGTGGGGAGCAGGTCAGAGGTGTGCGAAGCAGAAGATCAGAGGTGTGGGGAGTGAGAGGTTGGAAGTGTGGGGAACAGGAGATCAGAGGTGTGGGGAGTGGGGACTCACTCTGCTGTAGAGGGACGGCACTTTCTGAACAGGTCATTGACCACATGAGACAGCTGGAAGTCCCTTGGAAAACTTGGGAAAAGACTTTATTACCCTGCCCTCCCCTTTTTTTTTTTGGCTAAAAACTGTGGAGGGAAATAGAGCCTGCCAAAACCAGGACCTGAGTACCAAACACCGAGTAAATCCTGAGTCCAGCTGGCAGGATTTGGTATTTAACCACTTTCTAGACCAAATTTTCCCAGCTTATGGCTCTGACTAAAAGCATCATACCTGGCTTTTAGTTTTGGATAATTCCTTTAAAAGGATACAAAAGGAAACACAATTACATGAGGCTTCTGTGAATGCCGTGAGGCTTCTGTAAGTGTTTTTCCTGTGCTCTATGGGCAGCAAGGTGGGACTTGTATGCAGTGAGCCTGAGAAGGGTGTGCTGGGTTCATAGAGGGCATTGACAGTGATCTGGGAGGCTGCTCGTTGAGGTGGAGGAGAGGAACAGGGCCCTGCAGCTCCCCCAGAGCCCCTTCAGCCCCCTGAAGAGCCCCTGCAACTCCCCCAGAGCCCCAGCAGCTTGGTGTCTCAGCTCAGCACCCATCAGCCCAGCTGCCCTGCTAGGGACTGATCTCTGTGTTTGAGATTTGCCATAATTCCATAAAGATTTGCTCATTCCAAGGTGCCTGTTGCATCTCTGGGGAAGGCAGGATCTTACCTCTAAGCAGTAGACTTCCCAAATATCTGGCTGCAGCCTTCCTGTAGCTTGGAGCCTGCTGTGGTTAAGGAAATACTTGGAGAAAAATGGTGCTGAAGCCAGGTTTTGATAAGGAATATGGCATAATCAGGGAAAACAGGCTCCAGACTGAAGGAAGAGGCTGAGAACCCTCCACCATCCTCCCCAGCAGCCGCTCTGCGCACAGACGTGTTCCTGTCCTCCCCTCTGTTCCACGCAGGTGTTTGACTCCCCTTTCTGTGCCCTTCTCTCTGTAGGTGTATGTGGTTGGGAATGACAGCTCGAGCCTGCTGCTGGGATCCTTACAGTCAGTCCTGGGAGTGGTTTTTTCCCTCTATTCCTTCGCCAAGCAGAATGTGTCATACTTACGGTAAGGAAGGATCGTGCTCAGCTCTGCTTGGCTCTTCTGGGCTTTGCCCACCTCCAACAGGCACTCTGTGGGCACAGACAGGAGCAGAGATCCATTTTCTCATCCCAAGGAGCTCTCATTCCAATAGGGCAGGAACCACAGGCAGGGTACATGACCTTACTGACAGCCCTATGCCCAAGGAAGCAGTTCTCACTTCAGTTTTTGTCTTCCCTGAAGCCAGAATGTTCCGTGTAGAGACAAATGTGCCCTTGGGAGCACAGATTGACTCTGCCTAGAGCAGGGATTGTGGTTGGCCATGGATGGAGGTGGTGATGCTGGGACCTGGCTGGGTGTCAGAGTGATCTACAAACAGGATAAAAACTGGATAAAACAGCTCAGGCGCTGGCTCTTGGAAATACAGAATCATTCTCCTCATGTCTGGCATCACTCTCTTGTGATCCAAGCAGGACCTGCCTCCTGGCAGCTGTCCCTCATGCCATGCCCAGTTCCCCAGAATGCTCAGTGGAAAGCACCATGTGTGCTAGTCGTGGTGACAGGGACAGCGGTGACCAGGCACTGGCTGTCCTCTTTCCTTGCTCCCCCCAGGCTTTTCCTGGGCTATCAGGAGTTTGGACCAGCCTGATGAAAGCATTCCCGGTGGGGTTACGCTGTTCTCTGGTGATCCTGGCGTGTGCAGGCTTTCCCTAAAAGGTGTGTGTAGACACGGCCTCTGCTGCTATTGAAGACATCGTTAATCACTTCAAAGAGCAGCAAGTGCCGTGGCAAGTTGGTGGAACACGCCAAGCTCACGCTGCTGGGCCAGCAGTCGCTGCTCCCTTTGCTAAGGAATTTGGCAGGGATGACTACACTCGCAACTACCTGGAAGTGTTCGGCTTTCCAGACCCCTGGCACAGCACGGCGCAGCTGCTCCACCTCATTAACCTGCATCTTTCCTTGGCAGGGCTCCCACGCAACCTCACAGTGCTCCTGTCTCCTTCCTGCTCTCCCTTGGCACTGCCACCAGCCCTTGTCACCTAGCCATGAGGCACAGGCACAGCGTGCCAGGGATGTTCACAATGCTCCCTTCCTTACCGGGCTCAAGTCTGGAGGGACACAAATCCATCTGGGAATGCCAGAGGGCAGAATGTGCTTCTGGTCCCCTTAGAAACTGTCACAAATGCCTTCAGCTGCCGGAGCCAGAGCATTCCAAGGAGAGCCCATGGCCGCTTCAGAGTGCTCCAATCGTATCCGTCATCCCAAAACGTGTGACACAGGGAGGGGAGCAGTGGGTAGAACAATGTCACCACTGCTTCCTCTCTCCTTGCCAGCTCCCTGTGCCAGGAGATCCTGCTGTGGTTCCTGGAGAAGGCGGAGCGGGAGCGGTCGCTGGCTGTGCTGGAAGGCCTGGCCGGGCTGGGCAGCACCGTGCCCACCCTCCACCCGCGGTGCCGGGTCTGTGCAGGCAGCGAGGGCGGTGCTGCCATCGCAGTGGAGGACACCATCAGGTGAGTGCTGTGGGCACAGTCCCCAGAGTCACTCAGCACCCAGGGCTGTCCAGGGAAGCCTGTCAGAGAGCCTGGGTGAGTGGGGGTCTGCCAGGACCGTCCCACCATGGTCTCATCCCCTTAAGCTCAAGCAGGTGATGCTTCCTCACAGCCCATGCAGCCTCCAGGTTTTCTGCATGCCACACAGAGCTCTGACTTCCAGCCCCAAAAAGCATCATGCTCCACCTGAGTGTTGGTGTGCACTCCCTGCCTGCTTTTCCTGACTCCAAGCCCTGCCTGCGGACTGTCTGGGAATGGGATGTGTTTTTTCAGCCCCAACACCCCGCAAATTCAACTTCCACTGTCCAGCCTGAGCCTGTCTCGTGGCACAGTGAGTGGAGTCCCTCGGGCACAGGTGGTACTGTCACAGCAAGGACTCTGGCAATGCCAGCGTGGCCTCTGGTGTGTGCAGATGGTCTCTAAGTAGAGGCAGAGCATGGCCATGCTGGGAATAAACTGCAGCCATTAGTCTCCAGCCACGCAGAGCGGGATATCCGGCAGCCGGAGATTCGGTTTAAAGCAAGGGCTGTGAGCTGGCAGGGAGGGCCCAGGGCAGTGCTGTGGGATAGGCAGAAACATGACTGTGTCCAGGGGTGTCCGTGGGGAGGGTGTGCCAGGAGCTGGGAGCACCTACAGTAAAATCTCCACAAATATGCTTGGTTTGGCTTTTGTTTTAATCTATTCCTGACCTGAGTTAGAATCACAGACTTGTTTGGGTGTGAAGGGATCATTCCACCTCCTGCCATGGGCAGGGACACCTTCCATTAGACTAGGTTGCTCCCAAGCCCTGTCCAACCTGGTCTTGGACAATTCCAGGGATGGGGCAGCCACAGCTTCTCTGGGCAACCTGTGCCAGGGCCTCACCACCCTCGCAGGGAAGAATTTCTTCCCAATATGCCATCTAACCCTGCCCTCTGGCAGTGGGATGCCATTCCTCCTTGTCCTGTCACTCCAGGCCCTTGTCCAAAGCCCCTCTCCTGCTTTTCTATAAACTCTTTAGGTACTGGAAGGCCACAATTAGAAGCAGCTCTGCCCTGGTTAAACTGGGAATACTTTAAACTTACTCCATAATAGCCCTGGCTCTGCCCATGTTCATGTCCCTGCTTCCGTGGCTCTGACCATTACATGACTTAGCCAGCACTAATCCTGTTATTTATGGGATGGCTGGGTTTGGGCTCACGGTTTCTGTCAGTAGTGTAGTTTTGATAATGAAAGGAGCAAATGATCACAAATGACCTGGGCAGTGTTTGGCTCAGCTGCCTCCAGGCTCTGCTGGAAAACACTGGGAAGGAAGGCTTCCAGGAAAAGGCAGGCTGGGACTTCACTTTGCCCTGGATCTGGGGAGTCAAGGGGGTCTGGATTTGTTTGTGTAAGTGACTCAGTAACCTGTTCCAGTGATGAAGACGAGGCCCTGTACCAGAAGATCTCCTCAGAGCAGTGCCATGTGCAGAGCTTGGTGGAGCTTCTGTCCCACTGCCAGAAGAGTGGGCTGACCGGAGACTTCTTCATCCACTGCCTGAAGGTGAGGGCAGGCCTGTCTCTGGTTGGGGCACACCTGCAGGAATGGGTTCCTTGGAAAGGAATCATCCCCCTGTGTGTCCCGGGATACAGCACAAGCTGGAGCAGCCTTGTGTGCTGGGTGGGAGAGCCGAGGAGAGGGAGCAGCCCTGTCCCTGAAGGGGTTAACCCTTATCCCCTCTGGGCTTTTTTAACAGCATGAGCATGTTTGAAGTTTAATGGTGTGTTGGAAGCTGAGAATAATCCCTGTTGCTTCCCTGGCTTTTATGGAGGGGCCCCAGCACCTGCTTCCTTTCATCCTGCTTGGAGCCCCTGCAGTTCCCTCCTGGCCTGGGCTGGGCTGGGCTTTTTGTGTCCCCCCTCCAGTGCATAGTCACACAAGGGGATAGTGATGGGACTCCCAGGAGCTGTGGCAGCTGTCAGAGACCTTCAGCTGGAAGGTCCTGGTGTGTGAGGAGTCAACTGGCATTCCTGGCACTGGTTACCAACGTTTAACCACTGCGTCTCCGTGCCCTGTGCTTCCTTCCTGGCAGGAGCTGACTCAGGTGGCTGCAGAGGACGAGGTGGCTCCAAACCCGACTGTGGAGCCTGGAGGGAATTTGCTGGAGCTGGAGCAGGATCAGACCAGGCAGGAGAGGAAGCTGCTGGTCCTGCAGCTCGTGGCTGCGCTGTGCGAGAGCGTCTCGGACACCGTGTTCACTGACATTGTGCAGGTTGGTCATGGCAAAGCCCAGGGGGATTGGCTGAACACTTCCAGGAGGAAAGGCTGAGAGAGTTGGGATTGTTCAGCGTGGGGAAGAGAAGGGTCTGGGGTGACCTTGGAGCCATTTCCAGTGCCTAAAGGAGTTCCAAGAGAGCTGGAGAGAGACTTTGGACAAGGGAATGGCTTCCCACTGCCAGAGTGGGAACAAGAGGGAATGGCTTCCCACTGCCAGAGGGCAGGGTTAGATGGGATATTGGGAAGGCATTCTTGGCTGTGGGGATGGTGAGGCCCTGGCACAGGTTGCCCAGAAGAGCTGTGCCTCATCTGTGGAAGTGTTCCAGGCCAGGTTGGTCAGGGCTTGGAGCAACTTGGTTGGTCTGTACTCCTATGTCAGTGAATGGGCAGTGCAAAATTTATTAAATGTTGTAATTTCAAAAGCCACTGGGGCTCCTTGACCATGGTCCCAAAAAAGATTGTTAAAACATGGCACATCTGCCCCTCAGCACACGCTGGGTGGGGTTGGCTGTCCCACACTGTTCCTGTCAGGAATGCAGGTGGACACTGAGGGCAGCATGGTATTCCCCTGCAGTCTTTAAACTTCCACATCCTGTTCTTTATTGCTGTTTTTTACCCCAGCGCCCCGGCTGTGCCAGCTCCCTGTGCCTGCCGTGGGCAGAGGCGGTCACTGCTGAGGCAGGTTTCCTCACGTTTCCCTCTGGGACAAAGGATCCTTTGTATGCTCTGCAGCAGTGGGGGGGACACAGCCAGCACTGCTTTGTCCCCACCTGCCTCCCCATCACACCAACCTGCGGGGCTGGAGAGTCAGGGTGGGAAACAGGGAAGGGTTTTGCCAGGTTTCAAGGTCCAGCCTGAGTCTGGTATAAAAACCCACCACCAAGGAAATCCAGACAAAAAATCCATTATCCTCCTGCCCGGAGTTGTGTTTCAGGGAGGCCCCTGGGCTGAGACAGGCAGTGGCAGTGCAGCCTTTGAGCAGGTTCCTTAGGGCGTTTGGGGGGCCCTAATGGGGTAGGAACAAGTGGGATCCATCTTTCCAAGGCTGGAGCCCAGGAACAGTGGCCACTGTGGCCCCCCTCAGCTGCACATTTATTTACATATTTTGCCACATAACCAAGGTCAACTTGATTTCCTTTCTGCACCAAGGATTCTTTCCTCCTGCCTGAGAAACAACTGTGCCCCAGGGGTTTATTTTTCAAGTTTTTTTCCTCTCCCACATTAAAGTGGGGTTTTTTTTCTTTCTAGAGTAGTTCTTTTTACTTTTTTTTCTCAGCAGGCATCTACTGATTGTGTGCTCACAATGTTCCTTTTCTTTACATTAAATATAATTTCAACCTCTTCAGCTTGTGTGTCGCTGTGTTGTGAGAGCAGATATTCCAACTTTTTTTACTTTCTTGCTGTTTGCTGAAATTTCTGCTCTGACATAATTATTCCAGCAGGTACCTGAGCCTTTTTTGCAGTCTTTTCCAAAGCCTTTTCCCACAGCCTCCCCCCTTAAGGGATGTGCTCAAAGAAGCTGGCAACTGAGGAGGAAACGATGGCTGCACCCAGTGCCTGTGTCCTGGGGGCTGGAAGTTTGGGATTTGGTGCAATAGGACCTTGTTGCCCTCCTACTTTGTTTTCCAGAACAGGAGCACAATAGTTCTTTTGCAACACACCTGTTAGGTTGGAATGACCCTGATCCAGCCCTTTCCCAGGCTTGTCCCAAGCCATGGTGTGGAGAAAATAAGGCACGGAGAACATCAACTCCCTTATTTTCAAGGTCTGTTAGGAAGGCAGAAAGCCCGTGGGATCACAAGTGTCGGTGCCAAGAAGGCCGATGCCAGCCAGGCAGGATCGTTATAGGCTTGTGGAATAAAAATATTGTGGGAAAAATAAAAAAATAAGAGAACACGGGAAATAGCCCAGCTGGAATATCGGCTGTGTGGGAGTAAGGGGACTTGGCACTGGGGAGCCGTGGGGCTGGGACTGGAGCTCCTGGGCTCTGGAATTTCCCAAGCTTTTCTCTAGCCCAATTCCATACAGAGCCTTGTTGCCACCACCCTGACTTTCCCTCACAGACTATCCCAGTTGCCTTCCCAGCTTCCATCCCATGGTGGAGCTGGGCAGGAGGCAGAGATGGAGCTGGGTTCTTCCTGCTCCTGCAGCCTCATGGGGGCTCCTGCTGCCAAGAAACCCCTACCAGTTTAACCATCACCTTTTCCTATGGCTGTTTTGGGTGTGACTGCCAAGTCCACACCAGAGCCTGGCAGCTGCAGCCACTGGTGGACAAACTCTTCTTGAATTTGTGTGGACTTGTGTTAGAGAATGGCATAGGCTTGGGAAATTCAAATGGATGCAGAGAGACCAGGAAGGCTAAAGAGGAGGTGGGGTCACCCTGGGGATCCCTCCTCCTGACTGTTGTTCCCCTGGCAGGTGCAGGAGTTCGTGGCAGCCGTGCTGCAGCGGGCCTGTGTCAGCCCAGCGCGGGGCCCCGGCGCGGCGGCCGAGGCACAGACCCTTGCTATGGCCATGGGGCTCGTGGCTGCCCTGCTTGGAGGGGCTGTCCAGGTAAGGGGCAAAGCTGGGGGGCTTGGGGACAGGGAGTATGGGCCCTGCCAGCCCCAGCCCAGGGGGGCTGTGGCAGGGGAGCTGGGTGCCTTGGGTTGGGGTCCCTGCTGGGGTCCCAGCCTGTATATGTGTGTGTATATACATATATATATATATATATATATGTATATATGTATGTATGTATAACATATATATTGTTTTTCCTTGGAGCTGTGTGGGGGCACTGGCCAAGGGTTCAATCCCAGCAAGACATCCCTGAAATTAATTTCATTTATTTCTATACGTATACTATATTAATATATAGTATAAATTATATATACTATAATTTTATATATTATAAATGAATATATTAATTTATAATCCAAAGTTTGCTTCCAAGAAGGTGATGACAGAGCAGTGCAGCCATGTACAGCATCTTTAAATGCCAAGACTGCCTCCTCTGCATCCCTACACACCATGAGCTCCAGCTGCGGAGTGCAACAAACGTCCCATGTGGGCTGTACCCTTCTTGAAAGTCCTCTGTATTTTTATATTTACATTTTTTACATATTTATATTATTATTTACATCACTCAATTACCACATTATACCAATATATATATAGCGAGAGAGAGAGAGAGCTGCCATGGGAGCAATGGCCCATCCATTAATGCGCTGCCATCACTGAGCTGCTGGAGTTGCTTCATCCCCAGATTTGCCCAGAGGAAGATCCAGCTGTTAATGTTTTTTCCATTCATTTATTGTGTCTTATTGCTAAATTTCTAACACTGGGAAAAGAACTTTACTTGGAGAGAAGTTAAAGCCAAAGTCTTGTGGCTGCAATGGGCCCCTCCCAGACGAGCGCCTGCTCCCATTCTGGAGTTAATGGTGTTAATGGTAACTTGGGAAATGGAATGTGAAAGGTTTTGGAAGCAGCTGCAGAGCTGTTTGGGTTTCAGCAGCCAAGGAGTTTTTATGCAATCATCCAAACTCTCCACTCAAGCTAAAGCACCCTTTTCAGGCCTCACAGCCCAGAATTTAGCAGTTACATCCAGGTTAGGGCAGGAGCTTCTCCTGCTCAGAACAGGTGGCAGCTGACGTGCCAGGAATGTCCTTCCAGGCGGGACTGATGGCAAGCCTGACACGGTGCTGGGAAGATGATGGGAGGCATGTCCCTGTTTTGGCCTCCATGCACAGACAGGGCTGTCCTCCAGGCTCATGCCCTTCTCACCTTCTCGCGTGGCACCTGCTGGAGATGCCGGAGATGGGATAGGTGCTGGGCCATGGGCATTGCTGTTCAGAGGAGCTTGTGGTGCTTGAAGCCCAGAACCAGGGATGGGGATGGGAGTGGCCATGGGGCTACAAAACAGACTCTGGGGCTCATCATCGCCATGCTCTCCTGCCCTGCGTGGAGCATCCCAGGGAGCGGATGGATCCTCACTGTGATGGTGCCAGTGCTGCTTTTCTCTCTCCACAGCTCCAATCCAGCGACTTCTCTGTGCTGAAGCGGCTGGTGCCGCTGCTGGAGGAGCTGTCCCACACCTACCCCGAGCCCCTCACCCAGGAGTTGGCCTTGGACCTGCGCATCGCCATCTGCACCCACGGGGCCTGTGCCCCCGGCGCAGTGGGCGCCGCTGCTGACAGTGTGCTGGGGAGGAAGCCTGGGATGGGAGTGCAAAGCCCTGCTGGCATTCCCAGTGGAGCCCCCAGCCCAGGGGGCAGCCGGGCCCCGCTGCAGCACAGACACAGCAGCCCCTCGGCTCGTGGAGAGAAGAGCACAGAGCAGAGCACAGGCCACGAGCCCAGTGCCACCGATCCCACTCCAGCCCCGTGTGCCAAGAGCCCGGCCCCAGCTGGGCTCCAGGAGCTGCTGGTGTCAGCCTACGATCCCCAGCCCCCCGCCCGCGCTGCTGCCCTGCGCCACCTCGCCAGCCTGGTCACCCAGCGGGATCCAGAGGCACTTCGGCTTCAGGAGAAGTTGCTGCAGGTACTGGGCTCCTGCCATGGTCCCTGTCACTTGCCGGGTCCCTGTCCCCTGCCATGGTCCCTGTCCTGTGCTGCAGTGCAGAGCTTGTGCTGACCATGCCGTTGGGCTGGAGATGGTCCCGATTACTGGAGCCCTCTGGCCTTGCCGGCCCAGCCCAAAGTCACTGCTGATTGCACTTCCTCTTCATTCCAGGTGTTCCTGGAGAATGTGCAGCATGAGGATGCCTTTGTCTACCTCTCAGCCATCCAAGGTGAGCGATGCCCGCTGGGATGAGCGCCAGTACTTTGTCAGGGGAGGTTTTGTGCTGGGGGCACTGAGAGGGAAGGAAGAACAGCAGAGCTGTGGCCGGGCTAAGGGCTTGGTGTCTCCTGCCCTCCCATACTGTGGCTCTGTGCTGTTTGGTTGAGCCTGCAGCCATGTGTGGGCTCTTTGTCAAATTCCTGAAGCTCCAGGCTTTGTCTCCCAGTTATTCTTACTCTCTGAAGCTGGTCACTGTCTCCATGCCAGGTCTGTGCCACCAGCTGGGGCTGCAGTTCCAGCACGGTGTGGGCACAGCTCTGGCACCTTGGTCTGACATCCATTGAGTGGTCTATTCAACTGAGGTTGGCAGAGGAGCAGGGCCGTGGGGACCCACCGGTGCTCCCTCAGGGCTCTGCCAGGTCCATTCCCATGGCCCTTCCCACTTCCCAGGAAACCTTCAGGCTGGTTCTTGCTCCAATGCTCTCAGCACAGCCCTGTGGCACCAGGCTGCCCAGGCCTGCACCGCAGGCAGGTGCTTCCACACCGGGGTGGTGTGAGTGTCCTGTGTGACAGCTGACACGGCTGGTCACAGTTCGCTGGGTTCCATGGAAGTAGGTGCCGTTCCCTTGAACCACAGCAATGCCGGCACTGCTGTCATTGGGTTGGCAACCTTTGGCAACAGTTGGGAAAGGAGTTTATCCTTTGCTTCCCGCTGCCTGTACAGTCTTGAGAGAGACGGGTCTGTCCTTGCCCAGCGGCTGAAACACAAAGGCTGTAACCGTCCTGGTGATTAACGCGCCGGTGCAGCTGCCGCCGCGTTTGGCAGCACGACCGTGATTAACCCTGATGCGGTTCCTTGCGGCCGTGACTCACCCGGCCCGTGGCAGCAGCACCTGTGGCGAGCCATGCTGAGCATGGGGCTGGTGGTTGTCCCATCTGGGTCCCCACAGCCCCACTCGCTCCCCACCACAGCGGCAGGGCTGGGGCTGAGCTGGTGTTGCGACACCACTGGCTATCACTGAGCTGGACTCCAGTGGTGTATTCCTGCTGTACTGGGCACTACACCTATAATCCTGGAGTTAATTTTGGACCCCTCATCATAAGACAGACATTGAGGGGCTGAATGTGTCCAGAGAACGGAATGGATCTGGGGAAGGGTCTGGAGCACCAGGAGCAGCTGTGGGAGCTGGGAGGGCTCATCCTGGAGAAAAGGTGGCTCAGGGGGGCCTTCTCGCTCTCTCCAACTCCCTGACAGGAGGGCAGAGCCAGATAGGGGTCAGGCTCTGCTCTCAGGGAACAAGGGAAGGATGAGAGCAAACAGCCTCAGGTTGCACTAGGGGAAGTTTAGGTTGGATACTGGGAAAATTTCTTCATAGAGAGGGCTGTCTGGCCCTGGCACAGACTGCCCAGGACAGTGGTGGAGTCCCCATCCCTGGAAGGATTTAAAAGCCATGTGGATGTGACACTTGGGAACATGGGTTAGTTGGTGGCCTTGGCAGTGTGGGGGAACGGTTGGACTTAATGATCTTAGAGGGCTTTTCCAATCCAAATGACTCTGTGATTCTGGGATAAGGCAGTGCCAGATGTTACTGCCTTGCCGGATGTGCCTGGACTTGCAAAGGGTGACCCACACCAGGCGCCCTCCGATAACCAGGAAACAGGGCTGGAGGCGAAGCTCCTGGAGGGCCAGGAGCTGGGGCTTACCATGACTCAGTGCTTGGCACTGCCAGGGCAGCCTCTGCTGCTCGCTCGCTCCTTCCCTGGAGAGCAGCCACCTTTCCCCATCAGAGAGTTGCCCAGTGCTGCCAGAGCCCTGCCTGGCACTTCCCCCAGCCCACATCTCCACAGGGACAGCGAAGCTGGTGCAGCCCCATGGCATTGTCTAGCCTGTGTCCTGTGTCCGGGATCTGATCATCCCTTGTTATCCCTGGGGAGATGCAGCAGGCATTGGGTGCACTCGGGCTCAGGTCCCAGTCTGGGCCAGGTGAATTCAGCAGGGGCAAGGACACACTGGCACCATGTGCCAGTGGCTGGGAGCTGGGAGCAGTGACCAGACCCTGTGCCTGAGCATTGCCTGTGGTGCCCAGCTGCCCCCAGTGTACCGAGTCCACACCAAGTCAATGGGCATCAACCAGCAGCAGTGAGCGGGCACCTGCTGCCAACTGCCAAATTACTGATTTTCCAGCTTTTTTGCCCCCCCCCAGGTGTTGCCCTGCTCTCCAGTGAGTACCCAGAGCGGATCCTGCCCATCCTGCTGGCACGTTATGAATGCCCAGGGCAGGGCACCGAGGACGCCGTGGCCACTGTCACCAGGATGAAGCTGGGCGAGGTGCTGATGCGCGTCACCCGGGCGCTGGGTGAGTCCATGGCCATGGGCATGGCAGTGCCCCCTGCCATCAGCTACAGCACCTCTCGGCCTTGCCAAATCCCAGAGGAAAGCCCATGGGGGATTTTTTTTGTGGGAAATAGAGAAGGGTCTGGTAGCCGAAGAGTGGCTGGCTGGGGTTTGCTGATGGCAGGAGCAGGACAGTAGATCCTGCCAGCAGCCCACTGTCCCTTCAGCCAGCAGCGCCGGGCTCAGAGGCTGCTGGGAAGCGCCTGGACACGCAGGGCTGAGGGGTAGAAGCTGCATGAGGCCTTTCCATCAGCTGCTGTTGGGACACGTCCTAAAATGCCTCATCTGACTCCCTAGAGGAGGCCAGACCAGCGGGAGCTTGCAGCCGGAGCTCTCCGTCTCCAGGGGGGCGGCAGCCGGTGTCCCACTGCTGGGACAGCCAGATGGGGGTCCCTGGTCACCAGCCAGGCACTGTGTACTTGTTCAGGATTGCTCCTGCAGAGCCTGGATCCCCCAGGCCCTGGGGCCGTGACTCCCCTGCGACCTCTGCTACATCCCCTGGCCATGATGGCATCCCTGGGCTTTGCCAGCTGTGCCATCCCACTGGTGCCAGACTGTGCCACTGTCCAGCCTCCCTACTGGGATGGGGACAGGGCATCCCACTATCTCCTGGGGGGCTCCAGTGATCAGCAGCAGAGCCCCTCAGTCCCTAAAGACCCCGGGCAATGTCCATGTGTCCGCTCTGGCGCTGGACATCCCCTGGCAGCTGCCCTGGGGACGGTGGCACAGCCTCCCTGTGCTCTCCCTGCTCCCCACGGTGCCGCTGCCGCAGGCAGCAGCTCCGGCGCGTCCCAGCTCGCCGGCGTATTTATAGAACAAATTGCACCAAGTTGTTTCTGTTGCAAGGCTTCAGGATCCGAGAGCGAGGATTTATCCAGCACTTTCAGGATCGCTTTGCTTTGTGCAGTTTCAAGATGTCCTGCTCTGCCAAGATCTCTTGCTCTGCTTCTCTCCCACCCCATCCCTGTCCTCATCCCTGCCTGCCATCCCACTGGAGCAGCTTTTCCCATCCAGAATGGGATTTTGCAGCAGGAAGGGAAATGCTCTGTGCTCCTTCTGTGGCCATCTGGCACAGGGCTGGTCTGCTGTTGGCTTCCAAGGGAATACATCCCACTCAGATCACCCAGCACTACTCAGACTGCCATAATTCCAACCCCTGGGATGCAGTCAAGAGCAGGATGCATTTGCAGCAAGCCTGGCCATCCTTGGCATCACAGCACTGCCCCAAGCTCCACCACCCTGTGCCAGTCCCCAGCCCTGAGCTCCCACATGCAGTGGGATGGGAACCCTCCGCTGCCTGCAGGAACTATTCCTGTCCTTGCATCCGAGGGCATCCCAAGGCATCCATCCCACTGCCTCCATCGGCTGCACAACACCAGGATCCAAGGAGCTTCCAGAGCCTGGGAGAACTGGAAAACCACTGAGCTCATGGGCCAGCTAGCCTGCTGGAGCTTCCTTTCTGGCCCCTTGAGCCTCTTCCTCCAGGAAGCCATGCCCACACCATGGGGCACACGGCTGCCCACCTCCCATGGGATGACCACGCTCCCGGGGTGTTTGTGGATGCTGGACATGGGCCCTGACCTCTTGTTAGCAGCTCACATGTCCACAGCGCCTCCCTGTGCTAATTGGGGTGGGGATTTGGGTCTGAAAGATGTGGGAATTTGGGATTCACGCTTGGTGTGTCTGCGAGACCTTGAATGGAGGAACTGGGATATGCTGGAGGGCCCCCATAGGGCATGTGCCAAGGGGCAGAAGCCACCCTTGAGTTGCTGCATCCAGCTGTTCTGCACTGCTGCAAGGGGGATGCCCAGTCCATCTGTCCCAAAGGAGCCAAAGCTTCAGCAGGAAGGGACTGTGGGCTTTTCCATGCTGGTGACACACCGCTCTGCTCTGTCCTGCAGGGGACATGGTGTTCCAGCACCGGGAGCCGCTGATCCGGGCCTTCCTGCGGGGTGCCCGGGACCCTGACGGAGCACTGCGGGCCAGCAGCCTCTCCAACCTGGGCGAGCTCTGCCAGCACCTTGGCTTTCAGCTGGGATCCATTGTCCAGGAGGTAGCAGCTCCATCCTTCCCCGGGTCCCTGTCTGGGGAGCGTGGGGTCATCGCTTGTTTACAAGTGGGTTCGTTAGTGTGTGGTTGGGCTGCTGTGGACATGGAAATGGGACATTTCCATATGGAAATGGAACATTTCCACAAAGGACATGAGCGATAAGAGTGATAATTGCTTATACCGTGGAGTATAAAAGCCATTGGGCCTGAAGCAAACACTCAGGAGGTTCTAGCCCTGATTTTTAGGTGTCTGCTCCACCCATGGCAGCTGCTGCCAGAGGAGACCTAGGGGCACAGGTGGTGCCTGCCAGAGACACCTCCTGCTTAATGACACTTAGTTACCCTCCCGTTATCCTAATTATCATAATTATCGTTATCAGTATGGCTGAGCCATCCCTTGCCCTGGCTGCAGGCTCTGAGAGAGACACGGCTGCCTGGAGCTGCTGGCGCTGTGATCCTGGTGGGATGAGCCCAGCTGTCGGCAATCCAGCAGCCCTCAAGCTGGTGGGTCTGTGCCCCCTGGGAGCCAGAGCTTCGCCCCCCTGGTGCTCCTGGAACTGGAGCCCACATGGATTTGGCACTCAGGCTTCTCCCCCAGTTGCCACTCGGCACCAGTGGGTCCCGGTAGTTGACGTGATGCCAACACGCCACGCGCTGCTATTTTGGGAGGGTGCAAGCTCTGCTAATTCTCCTGGCTGTCACTGCTGGGGTTTAATTAGATTCCTTTGGCTCTGCCTGATTTTTATACAGATTGTTATACAGCTTCCTGAGGCATCCATGTGCTGCCTGGCCCCAGCAGGAGGAAGGGCTGCTCGGAGCCCATGCCCCGCAGGAAGCGGGACCCCCCAGCTGGGTACCAGGCCAGGCACTGAGGTCCCATCCTCATCCTTGGAATGTCCCCAGCATGGCAGCAGCTGCTCAGCTGGGATCCCCCACATCCCGCAGCCCTTGCTGATGCCCCCCTGCCCTGTGCCCACAGGTCACCTGCTGTGTGACGGCCATAGCCCAGACGGACCCTAAGGCCGAGGTGCGAAGAGCTGCCGTGCACGTGGTGGTTCTGCTGCTGCGGGGGCTGAGCGAGAAGGTCACCGAGGTGGGTCACCCCCCGTTTGTCCCCACGGCAGGGACAGTCCTCAACAGGCTCATGGGCATCCCTGCCCCACTGGGGCTGCAGGGCTCATTCCCAAGCAACTTCCAGGGAAAGTCTCAAGGGACTGAGACCCCCAACTTTGGCCTCCCCCACCAAAGGGCCCACTCACCAGATCCTGGGAAAGCGGGGACTTTGTGGGGGCATCCCTCTATGCTGCTGGGATGTGCCATGGGGCCGTGTCATGCTGTGGGTAGTGCCAGCTCTCAGGAGCCGTGGGAGTTATTCATCACTGATTTGACTTGGAAATGCCCAGTGTTTCCTCCACTGTGGCCTCCCTCCCCAGTTCCCAGTAACAAGCATGTTGGGACTCAACTCCCATGGAGGAAACAGCTAGTTCCCCATGGGAATCCCCGCAGCCGGGATCTCAGCATCCCCCTGTGCCTCTGGGCTGGAGGTTCACCACAATGTGCTGCTGGTGTGTGGGGAAACTGAGTCACAGGAGCCCAGAGCTGTGGTCGGCAGTGGTGGTGCCGCAGTGTCCTGGCACCAGCAGTGCTGGGGGAAGGGGCAGCCCCACACCTGCTGGGACACGCCGAGGGGGCGAGGGCGGGCGAGGCACCAGTGGGTGCTGACACTTTCCATGCCCGCCATATCCAGGTGCTGCGGGACGTGCTGCTGGACCTGTACCGCCTGCTGAAGCACGTGGTGACGGCTGAGCGCGACGGCGCCACAGTGCTGCACGCACAGCTGGCACTGGAGGAGTTGGACACCGTCATGAGGAGGGTCCTGTTCCCCCCACAGACGCTGGAGAAGAAGATTGTTGTGCTGCCGTAGCAGGGCTGAGCCTGTGGAAATGAACTGTTCTGCTCTGACATCAGGGCCAATGGCTCCCAGAACGGAAGGACTCGCTGTGCCCCCGGGATGCTGCCGGCAGGTGCCGGATGGGGTGGGGAACCTCGCTGGGACGAGGTGTGGGATTAAACAGAGACACACTCAGCCCTGTGTCCGTGGCGTCTGTGGGGGTCATGTGAAGCTTCTGGGTGCTATTGTGGCCATGCCCTGGGTCCAGTGGAAGGATGGGCATCACCCCCAGGGCCAGCATCAGTCCCTGGGCTGGCGTAGCAGCCAGTGGGGTCAGTACCTCAGGCTCCCTGTGGCCAACCAGCCACAGCTGCCCCTGAGGGGAGTTGGGAGGGTGAGGGACTCTGCTGTCTGCACCCCTTGAGTGAGTGTCCGTGGCCCCCCCTTGGCATCATATACCACAGGGATGCTGGGGGGTCTGAGGTCTCCTTCACTGCAGAGTCTGAGGATGGGCCCCTCTGCTGTGGCACCAGGAGCCCTCTCCATGCCAAGGAGGGGCTGTGGGACCCTGTGGCTGTAGGCACTTGTCTGGGACCAACGCTCACCACCATGTGCTTTGGGACACCCCAACATCGGGGTCACTCCCACCTCCAGTCAGGACAGCTCCCATGGGTGCTGCAGCACCACAGGCCTCATTCCTGCGCTGGGAGTTGCTGCACACCTACGGTGGTGGGGGAGCAGAGTCCTCAGGAGCCTAGCCCTTACCCCTCTCGCTCTCCTGGCACCATGCAGCCCCCAGCCCCTCCATGTATAACCCCAGTTGCCCATTTCCCAGCTGCCCTGTGCCATACCAGATACTGGGGGCGGTCTGGCACACCCCTTCCCTACCAGGCTGGGGCCCCTGAGCTGTGTCACCACCCCTGTGCTGTGCCATGCAATGTCCTGAGTGGCAGCAGGAGCACATTGTCCTCACTGGAGAGAGCAGCGGTGGCCAAGCACTCCTTCTCGCTCCTGGCGCTGTGTTGGATCACAGGCATGTACCAGGGTGCTGCTGTACCAGCTGTGCCTGTCCAGGGGCTGCCACAAGTGGTGGAGGATGAATTTGGAATGAAAAGTCTCTTTTGATGCCACTGGCTGGACACTGTCTGGCCATCCTGCCTCTGGCAATAAGGACATATCCTGCCTCTGGGAACAAGCTGTCTGGCTGTCTTGCCTCTGAGAGCAAGGATGTGTCCGGCTGTCCTGCTGCTGGAAGCAAAGCAATGGCTGTGCTGGGGATGGAGGTAGTTTGATTCCCACCTTGGACAGCCACAGGCACGCCAAATGTGAGGGGTCCCTGATGAGGGCACAGGGAGGGCTGTGATGTGGGGACACACTGCCCCTGTCCTGTGTCCCCCCTCCCCATAGTTGGGCACCTGTTGCCACAGGGACCCTGGCAGTACCACGGCAGTGGCACAGGCCACACCAGTCTGACCCCACCATGCTGGGCTTTGAACCCCTGCACCCCACTGCTGCCCTGTGGGAGCCCTGCCTGTGGTGCTGAGGGTCCCAGCATATCCCTGTCCCATCCATGGGCTCACCAGCTCCTCACCATCCGCTCCAGGTGCTTGGGAAGATCCCAGCTGGCATCGCCGCAGTGCTGGGGGTGTCATTCGAGGGGGACCTGCCTGCCCAGGATGCTCCCACTGGAGGGATTCCCTTCCCCAGCTCCCGGCACTCGGAGGCTCCGGGTCCAGTCCTGGTGTCACTTCGCACCCGGCTCCCAGCACAACAGGACACAACGGCCTGCATTGGGGTGAGGAACCCGAAAGTGCTGGATTTAAGCCCAGAGCCAAAGCTGCAACTGCTATGGACTCAGAATGGCTTCTCCCGGAGCTGGCTGTCCCCTGCCATCAGCCCGGCACGGGAACATGGTGCTGCTGTCCCCGGGCTGACCCTGGTCCTGTCCTGGCACCCACCGGCCACAGGGACAGGGTGACACGGGTGGCTCATAGCCGTGGCAGGACACGGTGGCACAGGGAGGTGACACGTGGGTGTCATAAGAGGGGCCCAAAAACGGGGCGGGGGGAAACAGAGTGACCGGTCCCTGGCCCGTGGCGCTGCGCCGGTGCCGGTACCGGCTGATGCCGGCGCCGGGTGATGGTGATGCCGGTTCCGGTGCAGCACTAGAGCAGCTGCCGGTGCTGCCGGTGCAGCAGCTGTACCGTGGTGCCTGTGATGATGCCCGTGTCGGTGCAGCACTGGCGCCGCTGATGCCGGTGCTGCCGGTGCCCCCGGTGCCGGTCATCACTCCCGCAGTGCGGGGCTGCGGCCGGTGCCAGGTGCTGCCGGTGCAGGGCCGGTCCCCGGTGGCTGCGGGCGGAGCCGGAGCCGGTGCCGATGCCGGTGCCGGGGGCGGTGCCGGCGGTGCCGGTGCCGGTGCCGGGCGGGGCCCCCGCGGGCTGCGGGCGGTGCCGGCCCCGTCGCGGTATAAAGGGGCCGCACGGGCCGGGCTGGGCGCACAACGGCGGCGGCGGGTGGGGAGCGGCGGTACCGGTACCTCCACGGTGAGTCCCGGCCCCTCCTTTTTCCTCCTGGCCCCGCTGATCCGGCTCGGGGCTCTCCTGCAGCGCTGCGAGACCGGCGGCGGCACCGGGGGCTACGGGGTCGGAGGTAGCGGGTAGCCGGGGGCTGCGGGACCGGGAGGAGACAGGAGCGCCGGGGGCTGAGAGGCCCCGGGGGGGCTGCCCGGGGGCTCTGCCGGCGGCACGGGTGTTCCTGGGGCTGGCTCTGCGCCCTGCCTGCACCCCCGCACGTGGTCGTGCACCCCCCGACATGCCCGCACCCCCTGCCCGCACCCGCGCCCTGGTGCAGCTCCGCAGTCCCGTCCTGCCCGCGCTGCCCGTCCCCGCGTCTCTATCTCGCCGCGGGGAGGGGGTCTAGGTGCTTCCACCCCCGCAGACAGGGGTCCCGCCACAGGCGGTCGGGGTGGTGGGGGGCTCTGGGTGGCCGTGATTTCCTCGGGGACACTCCAGTCCCTGGCGTCCCTGTGCCCTTCCCTGTCCTCTAGCCCGGCCATCTCTTGGGAGCAGCTGTGTTCCCACTTGGCTGGACAGGGGGTGCTGGCACTGCGCACTGTGGGGTGCTTGGGACCTCCACACCTTGCCTGCCACCCTGTACACTGGGGTGGTTGGGACCCTCATACTTCATCTGGCCCCATGGAGACACTGGGAAGGTGTCACCCCCAAACCGGTGACCAGCAAGGGACAGGGTGGCCACGGGGCAGCAGAGGAGCAGGGTCCCTCCACTTCTGTGTTATGGGGAGGCCTGGTGGGGAGCGTGTCCCCCTGTCCCTTCCCTGATGCTCTTTGGTGTTCCCCCAGATGCCAGGGAGCCTCTCCACGGCCCTGCGTGTCGTGGGGACCAGCCTCTTTGCCGTGGCGGTGCTGGGGGGAATCCTGGCTGCCTACGTCACAGGGTACCAGTTCATCCATACAGAGAAGCACTACCTCTCCTTTGGGCTCTACGGGGCCATCCTGGGGCTGCATCTCTTCATCCAGAGCCTCTTTGCCTTCCTGGAGCACCGGCGCATGCAGGGTGAGGGGCAGCTGGTGCGGCCGGGGCGCTCCGTGGCCCTTTGCATCGCTGCCTTCCAGGAGGATCCCGACTACCTGACGAAGTGCCTGCGCTCTGTCAAGCGCATCGCCTTCCCCGACCTCAAAGTGGTGATGGTGGTGGATGGAAATGGCCCTGATGACACCTACATGCTGGACATCTTCCATGACGTGATGGGCTCCGAGCACTCAGGCAGCTACATCTGGAGGAGCAACTTCCACGCACAGGGCGAGGGAGAGACGGAGGCCGGGCTGCGGGAAGGGCTGGCCCATGTCCAGGCGCTGGTGCGCAGCAACACCTACTCCTGCATCCTCCAGAAGTGGGGCGGGAAGCGGGAGGTGATGTACACGGCCTTCCGGGCGCTCGGAGACTCTGTGGACTACATCCAGGTGGATGCATGGGCTGGGGGGATGTGGGCAGGGAGTGTCCTGCCTGCAGAGCTGGGCAGAGGGGCTGTGGGTAGGATGGGAGCAGCCCTGGGAGCCCGCAGGAGCACTTGGGTGCCTGGATGTGGCTCCACGCACCGGCCCTGAGCCACTAGCACTGGGGCTGGGGGTGACTGGCACTGAAGTGGCCAAGGGGTCGAGCCCTGTCTGCAAGGGTGCCACATCACCTCCTCAGCATGTGCCCTGGCATGGTGTCACTGAGTGGGACAACGTGGCACAGCGCAGGGTCCTGGGTCCCCAGGGTGGCTGGGATGGGTCCTCCATCAGTTCTGGGGAAGGGTGTCCTGGGGCAGTGGTGTCCAGGCACCACGGGGTGCTCCACTCCCTGCCATCGCCTGCCGGCCTCCAGGGCCCTGCCTGGTCTCGCCATCCATGGCTCGGGCTTGCCCGGCTGCGGGCTGGGCTGTTTGCCGGGTGCGTGTGGGCGGCGGGAGCGGGGCTCGACGTTCCCTCTGCCCCCAGGTGTGTGACTCAGACACGGTGCTGGACCCCGCCTGCACTGCCGAAATGCTCCGCATCCTGGAGGCCGACCCCCGTGTTGGCGGCGTCGGTGGTGATGTGCAGGTACCTCGGTGTGAGGGAGGGCACCCCAGGGCGGCGAGGCGAGGGCAGGGCTGGGAGTGCCGGGGGCTGCAGCAGTGCCGGAGCTCACATCCCTCCCCTCCCTAGATCCTGAACAAGTACGACTCGTGGCTCTCCTTCCTGAGCAGCGTGCGGTACTGGATGGCCTTCAACGTGGAGCGTGCGTGCCAGTCGTACTTCGGGTGCGTGCAGTGCATCAGTGGCCCCCTGGGCATGTACCGCAATGCCCTCCTGCAGCAGTTCCTCGAGGACTGGTACCACCAGACCTTCCTGGGCAGCAAGTGCAGCTTCGGGGATGACCGGCACCTCACCAACCGTGTGCTCAGCCTGGGCTACCAGACCAAGTACACGGCTCGTTCCAAGTGCCTGACGGAGACACCCACGCGGTACCTGCGCTGGCTCAACCAGCAGACCCGCTGGAGCAAGTCCTACTTTCGTGAGTGGCTCTACAATGCACTGTGGTTCCACAAGCATCACCTCTGGATGACCTATGAGTCGGTGGTCACTGGGTTCTTCCCCTTCTTCCTCATTGCCACTGTCATCCAGCTCTTCTACCGCGGTCGCATCTGGAACATCCTCCTGTTCCTGCTGACGGTGCAGCTGGTGGGTGTCATCAAGGCCACCTACGCCTGCTTCCTGCGTGGCAGTGCCGAGATGATCTTCATGTCCCTCTACGCCCTCCTCTATATGTCCAGCCTGCTGCCCGCCAAGATCTTCGCCATCGCCACCATCAACAAGTCGGGCTGGGGCACCTCAGGGCGCCGCACCATTGTGGTGAACTTTGTGGGGCTGCTGCCAGTGTCGGTGTGGGTGGCAGTGCTGCTGGGTGGGCTGGCCTACACTGCCTACAGCCAGGACCTCTTCAGCGAGACTGAGGTGGTCTTCCTTATTTCAGGTGCCATCCTCTATGCCTGCTACTGGGTGGCCCTGCTCACACTCTACCTGGCCATCATCGCCCGCCGCTGTGGCAAGCGGGAGGAGCAGTGCGGGCTGGCCTTCACTGAGGTCTGACTGCAGGGTGGTGCCACATGCTGGGGGGTTCCTGTGTGCCAGAGCAATCATCCCCAGTCCCCTCTTCCCCCATCCTGGAGCTGGGATGGTAGAAGTGCCAGGTGCTGGGGTGTCCCTGTGTGCCAGAGCAACCACCCCAGATCCCCTCTTCCCCCATCCCGGAGCCACCAGGTGCTGGGCAGTGCCAGGATAACTACCCCCAGTCCCCTTTCCCATCCCAGAGCCAACGGGCAGCGCTGAGCGCTCCTACCCCTTGGCATTTCTCAGCAAATCTGAAATCTTGCTAATTTTTTTATTAATATGTTTATTTTTTCCTTATCATTTCTCCATCCCAAGCTGGCCGTGGAGAAGCCAAGCCAGGGCTGCCCATCACCCACCTGGGTGCCGCTGGCCACATCCCTGCTGTGCCCTATGGAGCATCCTGGTGCCGAGCGCTGCTGGCTGCGCTCCCCCCACCCCAATCCAGAATTTTCCACCTTTTGGTGCTTTTTATAGGGATTTCAGTCCCACCTCCACGGTGCTACAGCACTTCCCACCCCCAGGACACACCATCTCCATCTGGCATGGTGCCAGCACTGCTGGATTGTGCTGCCTTTGCTCCGCTGCTGCGTGCAGGCACGTACCCACGGGGAGCCCCTCCAGCCATTTTTGGGGGGGTCTGGCTGCTCCAGGAGGGCAGCAGGTCCCTTCAGCTTTGCCAAAGAGCCAATGGGGGAATCCTGGTGTGGAGAAACTGGGAAAATGGGGGGAGCTGTGGGTTGTGTGGAGCATTCCCCCCAAAGGGGCTGTGGTGGTGCTCTGGCAATTCATGGCCCCATCATTCCCACCCCACTGCCTTCTCAACAGTAGGAAGACACTGGGATTTAGGCAAGGTGCTTCCCAACCTTTCCCCTCCCAAGGGTATCGACCTCTGGGTCCTTTTTGTCAGGACTTGGATGAAAACCCCTTTCTACGATGGAGGTTTTAGCTGTTTTTGTTTAACTTAATACAAGGTTTTTTAGACTTTTGTAGCTCTTTGGTATTGTCATGGATGGTTTGTAAATCTATTTATTTTTGAACCTGCCAGGGGGATTCTTTTCATATTTTAGGGGAAAAAATGTTTTTATATCCTGATGGAGTTGTGGAAATAAAGACTCGCATCAAGGATGTGTGCTGTGTTTTGGGGAGGGTTCCTGGTCCCCCTGTCCTGATTTGAGGGAGACTGGGGCTGAGTCCCTGTCTGGCACTGGTGTCCTCACAGATGCAGGGAGGGGTAGAGGGGGACATCTCCATGCTGGCACCTCCGTGGGTCCCTGGGAACTGCTGAGTCCAGGCATTGAGGGCACCCCCCAGATAGGACATCCCTGCATGGGCTCACAGGAGGTCCCTGCCCCTCAGGACTCATGTCCCCTGGAGTGACCCACAGGGTCTGTGGTTCTCAGAAAAGCATCATTTTGAGGGGACAAGTGACCCAGGAAGGGCTCTGGGTGCCCAGACACAGAACCCATCACTTTGAGAGTTCCCTGTGCAGGACAGGGATGAGGTCCTCGATCTTTCTCAGTCCTTGCTGCTCTTCCCAGCAGCAGAATGAAGTTCACAGCCTGCATCCATCCCCCTCACACCTTCTTGGGCACGTGGGTGATGATGGGCTTGGGGCGGGTTTTGAAGAGCAGTTTGGTTTTGATGAGGGCAGAGACGGTGTAGTGGCCCTGTGGCTCCCCAGGGCTGGGCTGGGAGGCTCCTCCCTGCTTCACCAGCACAGCAAACGGCTTCTCCAGCTGCACCACCTTGCCATAGAGGATGTGGTGGCCCACGATGAGCACAGGGACACCCTGGGGAGAGTGGAGGGTGAGGGTATGGTAGGGTCAGGCTGTCCACAGGGGGCCCCCAGTGCCACCTGCCTCACCTCACAGGTGTAGTGCAGATCTCCCAGGAGGCTCCCGGCCAGGCTCCCGCTCTGCCGGGGCTCCACCTCGCCCTGCAGCTCCACCAGCACCCACTGTGCCAGGCTGCCGGTGCCACCGCTGCGGGAGAGACAGGGGGGTCACCCGGGGGGGTCACCCGGGGCCTAGCCGTGCCCCGGCACAGGGCTGCAGGGGCTGGACCCCAAGGGTCTCACCTGGAGATGACGATCTGCACCATGTCAGGTCCTGAGGGGGGGGCTGCAGAGACACAGGCAGGGCATGGGGCAGGGCCTGCTACCCCTGGGGTCCCCAGGCTGAGCTCCTGCCCCTGGGCCCCACAGACGCCATGTCCAGATCCCAGACCTATTCCTTTCCCGGGCCCTCCAGCCATTCCCGAGTCCCACAGACCCCACAGATCCACCCATACCCCCCCCCCCTCGGGCTCCAGAGCCAGACCGCAGACCCATACCTTCCCCGGGGCTTGCAGCCCCCCATGCCCGCACTCCCCCTCCCGGTGCCCCACAGCGCCCCGGTGCCGCCGCCCGGTTGCGCGGGGCGCTGGTGCCCTCCAGCGGCGCCGGTGCGGCGGGGCCGGGCCGGGGCCGCTGGACGGGGCCGTTCGGGGGCCGGGCCCCTCCCGTCCCTCCCCCCTCCGCCCGGCCCGGACGGACCCCCTCCCGCTTCCCCCGCGCCGCTCCCGCACCCGCCGCCGGCCGCGCGCGAATCTCCCGCCGCGCCGCCGCTTCCGCCTCCGGTCACGTGCGGCCCCGGGGCAGCCCCGGTTCCGGTGCCTCGCGCACGTGGGGCGGAGCGGGGCCGGGACCGGGATCGGGATCGGAGCGGGGCTGCCGGGGCGCGATGGGCGAGTTCGAGGTGCACCGGGTGCGGTTCTTCGGGCTGGTGCCCGCGGGCGTGCGCTGCCTCGCCTGCCAGCCCCGCGGCTCCCGCCTGGCTCTGGCCCGCACCGACGGCGCCGTCGAGGTGTACAACTTCGCCGCCAACTACTACCAGGAGAAGGTGAGGGCGCCGGCACGGGCCGAACCGGGCTGTGCTGGGCCTGTACCGAGCCGTACTGGGCTTTGGCGAGCTTGTACCGGCCCCGTACCGAGCCTGTACTGGGTCTGTACCGAGCCGAACCGGGCCATGCCGAGGCTGTACCGGGCTTTACTTGTCCCTGCCGATCCGCACCGGGCCGTGCAGGGGCTGTACCGGGCTCTATTGGGCCGCTCCGAGCCGTGCCGCGGTGTGACGCCCGTCCCTCCGCAGGTGATCCCCGGGCACGAGGCGCGGACGGTGGAGTCGCTGTGCTGGGCCGCCGGGGACCGGCTGTTCGGGGCCGGGCTCAACGGGGACATCACCGAGTACGACCTGTCTCGGCTGAGCGCGGCCCGCGGGGCCGACGGCGGCGGGGGGCCCATCTGGAGCATGGCAGCCAACGGCACCGGCACCCAGCTGGCGGTGAGTCCCGTCGGGAACGGCACCGGGAGCGGCGGCGGGGGGGGTTAATCCTCTTGTGCTGCCAGGCTGATCCCGACCTTCCACAGATCGGCTGTGAGGACGGTTCCGTTAAGATCTTCCAAGTCATTCCTGGAGGGATCCAGTTTGAGCGGAACCTGGACAGGCGGAAAGGTGAGTCCGGCAGCAGCACCATCCCTTTGTTCCCCCTGGTGTCCTGGTGACCAAGGGGCTGTGAGCCCGCGGGGTCACACCCGGAGCTTCCCTCCCCAGGCCGTGTGCTGTGCCTGTCCTGGCACCCCTCGGACACCCACATCGTCGCCGGCTCCATTGATGTCTTCCGTGTCATCGATGTCGCTTCAGGTACCTCCTACCCTGGGGGTGACCCTGGCCTGTCCTACAGCACTGCCAGCACCCACCGCCCCCCTGTGCTTGGGGGGATCCCTGGCCACCCTCAACTGTCCTCCATGTGCAGGTCAGACTGTACAGAGGATCATGGTGAACTATCACGTGGAAAAGGTGAAGCGTGAGTGCGTGGTCTGGGCCATCGCCCTCCTTTCCAGAGGCACTGTGGTCACCGCTGACTCCTTCGGGAGGGTACAGTTCTGGGACTGGCAGCAGGGCACGTTGGCAGAGTCCCATACTGTCAGCACCTCGGCTGTGCTCTCGCTGGCTGTGGCAGAGGTTGGTGAGACCCCCATGTCCTCCCTCAGCTGACAGGGGCCCGTGGCAGGAGCTGCCGGGCTCGGTGCCCCTGATGGTGCCCTCCCTCTCTTCCCAGTCTGCTCCCACAAACCCATTCCGGTTTTTGTCCCCAGAAGGAGGACAGCATTGTTGTGGGTACCTCAACTGGAGCCACCTACCAGCTGCAGCTGCTGCCAGTGAAGCTGGGTGGATCGGAGAAGCGCTGGGTGCGGACCAAGCCCTTCCAGCACCACAGCCATGATGTGCGGGCCGTGGCACACAGCCCCACCGCCTCATCTCTGGGGGTAGGACTACCAGGGGCACCGGGACAGGCTGGATCTCCCCTCCTGGTACCGGCTCAGCTGATCCCTCTTTGGCTTCCAGGCCTGGACGCCCAGCTGGTGATCCGCCCGCTGATGGAGAAGGTGCAGAAGAAGGGCTATGATGCAGTGCTTCGAAAATTCACCTTTCCCCACGTGAGTGATGCTTAGAGTGGTGTCTTGTGGCTGGTGGGGTAGGCGGGCAGGGCTGGATCTTTCTGCAGGAGAAGTTGGACCTCCTGGTCCCTTTGGGTGCCCTCCTTTCTCTGATGGGGTCCCTTCCCTGCCCTTTGGGTCCCTTCCCTGGCCCTGGGTCCCTTCCCTGCCCTGTTGCGTCCCCTTCCTTGGACCTGGTACATCTAGAGGCTTCTGCCAAGAAGCGGTAGAAGTTAGCAAGTTGGTCTTGCTGGTCCTACCAGGTCTCCATTTCCAGGCTCCCATCCCATGGAGCCTATTCTCCCCCACCTTAGAGTCTCCAGCACCCTAGGGTGTTCTGCTGGTGCCCCAGCCCGTTGTAACAGGCTGTGGATCCGTGACAGCCTGACCATTTCCATGACATCCTGCCTGTTCCTCCGCACAGCGACGCCTTGTCTCCTGTGCCAGGAAGGCCCGGCTGCTCCTCTTCCAGTTTTCCCAGCACCTGGAGCTCTGGAGACTTGGCTCCACTAGAGAGACTGGTGAGTCGCAGGTGTAGCTCTCTGGCATTGGCCCTGTGGCAGAGCCCATCTGCCCCAGAATTTTGGGATCGAGCTGTCCTGTACCTCGGGGAAGGGTCTGGTTATTCCCCCAAGGATCCCCAGCTGCCCAACAGGACCTCTGTGGTTTTCCCACCATCACTGATGCTCTGTGTGCTTTCTTGTCCCAGGAAAGGATGGTGAGGTCCTTCCCTTGTGCCGCATGCCCGAGCACCTCGTGCAGCTCAAGAGCAAGGTAGGGCTGAGCGGGGCAGGGGTCCCCCTCAGAGGGGGGCACGTGGTGGGCTCTGGGAGTCCCTTGGGCTCCTCTCAACCCTGCAGCATTCCCAGGGCCCGGAGCACATCTACTGCAGCTGTGTCTCACACTGTGGCACCTGGCTTGGCTACTCCACCGCCTCCCGGTTCCACCTGTACCGTGTGCGCTGCGACGGCGTCAGCCTCAGGAAGGTCAGGAAGGGTGGAGGGGGCTGCAGGGTCACGGGGGGCTGGCATGGTCAGTGTCACAGTGATGACAGCAGTGGGTGGCAGCGGGGTCCTGGTGGGCTGGCGTGTCCCCGGGGGGTTGCCATGGCTGGTGTCACACGTAGGGAGCACTGGTGGCAGTGGGGTGGCTGCCAGGGCTGTGTTCTCCCCACTCCCAGGTCCCAAAAGTGCCCAAGCTGCTGCTTCCAGCCTACCAGCTCCAGTTCTCCGCCGACTCCAACAGCCTCTTCGTCGCCTCTGCTCGAGGATCTGTCCACGTGCTCCAGCTGCTGGAGCCAGGGGGCTGCAAACACCTGCACACACTTCGGCCACCTTCAGGTGTGTGCTGAGGGGAGCTAGGGGGCAGCTGGGTGTCCCTGGGATCCATGTCCCCTCCCTGCTGTGGGTGCAGAGAGGAGTGTGTGTCCCCCTTTCCTGTCGTAGTTGTGTGTGGGTCCTTCCTCTGGGTGTTTGAGCCACCCTCATGGCCTGGCACCAGGGGGCAGGGGGAACGTGGGTCTGGGTGTCCCCTGGGGGGATCTGAGGCTCCAGCACCCCTTACAGCTGGAGGGTCTCTACAGGGTGCTCTGAGGCTGTTTACCTGCTGGCGCCAAGCGCAGACGGGCACTGGCTGGCAGCCGTCAGTGGGGACTGGGCCATCCATGTCTACAACCTGAAAAGCTTCAAGGTGGGTGCAGGAGTGACCCTCGCTACCCCCCTGCCTTGAGGGACAGGGGGCAGGAGGCTCAGCGGGCAGGGCCCCTCCCTGGGAGCCATCACTGTGGCCCCGGAGCAGGGCTGGGGTGGATGTCTGGGAATGGAGGTCAGAGGTGGCCCTGGGGGCTCCACTTTGGGGGTGGATCTGTGGGGAGGGGGATCAGAGGCAGCCCCAGTGGATCCCATCAGCACACTGTCCTTCCTGCAGCATCACTGCGTGGTGCCCACCTACAGCTGTGCAGTGTCAGCCCTCGCCATGTAATTGCTACTCGGAGCTCTTCTGGTTCAGCCTTCATGTCCCTGGTCCTCTCCCTGCCCTCAGGGCTTTCCAGACTGGCTCCGGGGCCTATCAGGCTGTTGCTGGAGCTGGAGCTGCCCCTGTGCTGGTGTGGGGGTGACTCCAGCTGGTGGAGTTCAGCATCCCTGAGCAGCAGTACACGGCCTGTCAGAGACCTGCTGCTGGGGAGCTGAATCCCTCACACATCCTTCTCCATGACACCTACTTGTTCTGCGTCCTGGACAAGTCCCTGGTGAGCCTGGGAGTGCCCAGGGCACAGCCTGGGCAGGCTGAATGCACAGCCCCTGCCCGATGACAGCACCCCCCTGATGAACCAGAGCACCCTGAAACAGCTTCCAGAGACAGCCAGGAAGCGGCAGCTCGACGCCTTCAAGATCTGCAAGAAGTTCCAGGTGTGTGATGGTGTTGAGGAGCCCCCTCAAGAGGGTGTTCAGGACATGGAGAGGGACTTTGGACAGGGGGCTGGAGTGACAGGGCAAGGGTGAGTGGCTTCCCACTGACTGAGAACAGGGTTAGATGGGATATTTGGAAGGAATTCTTCCCTGTGAGGGGGGTGAGGCCCTGGCACAGGTTGCCCAGAGAAGCTGTGGCTACCCCATCCCTGGAAGTGTCCAAGGCCAGATCGGACGGGGCTTAGAGCAACCTGGTCAAGTGGAAGGTATCGCTGCCCATAGCAGGAGGTGAAACAAGATGGGCTTTAAAGTCCCTTCTCACCCAAACCCTTCCATGATTCTTTTATTCCCACCTCCTGCCCTGCAGCCCCAAGTCTTTGCGGATCTGCTGGATGAGAACTCCCTGGTTGTGGTGGAACGACCCATCATGGACTTCAAAACCCAGCTGCCTCTGCCTGTCCAACAGAAGAAATTCGGCACCTGAGAGCAGAACAAGCTGCTCCGGCCTCAGGAGCTGTCTCTGTGTTGCTTTCCTGGGACACTGTAGGAATTTTCTTAGGGTGCTGTCAGAATAAAACCTCTCTGTTCTGTACATCTCTGGTCTTATGGCTAATCCATGCTCTGTGAGACTCCCTGTTGTCACACAACCCTGTCACCCTGATCCTTGTATCGCTCTTCTCTTCCACAGAGCTGCGGGACAAGGTGACACCCCAAGTTCCAAACTTCATCCCTGTCAGCATCTAATCCCAGCGCTGGCTTCTTTCTCTCTCCCCAGTGGCTTTGTGGGTCTTTAGGTGCTGTGTGGGGCAGGGGAGCCTCATTCCCTGAGGATGGGGCTCTGTGGGTGCTGCCTGATGTGGGGAAGCCTTATTCCCTAAGGATAGGGGTCTGTGGGTGCTGTGTGGGGCAGGGGAGCTTGATTTCGTAAGGACGGGGGGTATGTGGGTGCTGCCTCATTCCTTAAGGGTGGGGATCTGGATGCTGCGTGGGGCAGGGGAGCCTCATTCTCTGAGGATGGGGGTCTGTGGGTGCTACCTGCAAGCCTCAGTTCCTAAGGATAGGGACTCCTTTGGTGCTGAGTGGAGCAGGGGACCCTCCTTCCCTAGGGACGGGTGCAGCCTCATTCCCTAAGGACAGGGCTCCACGGGAGCCACCTGGTGTATGGAAGCCCCGGGATGGGGCTCTGTAGGTGCTGCGTGGGGCCGGGAAGCCTCATTCCCTAAGGATGGAGGGAGGGAACTTTTGAGATCCCCTGGGAATAAGGGAGATTTAAAGCGAACGGGGAGGGCGGGAGGGAGGGTGAAATAAATCGCAGAGCGCGAAATAAATCACAGCGCCAGACATGGCGCGCGGGGGCGTGGCCTTCCCGCCCACCCCCGCCGGCGCGACCAATCGCAGCAGCGGCGGCTCGGCCGCCGCTGCTGCGATTGGTCGCGCCGGAGGGGAGGGCGGAGCGTCCCCACCCCGTCCCCCCCATACCCTCGAACCTACCGCAGCGCGCCATGCGGGCGGGGGCGGGGCTTGGGAAGCCCCACCCCTCTACATAAGCCCCGCCCCTTCTCCCGGTGACCGGCGGCGGCGGTGGCGGCGGCATGGCCGTGTGGACCCGGGCTTGTAAAACGGGGCTGCTGGAGCTGCTCCTCCGGGAACGCTGGGTCCGCGTGTCGGCGGAACTGACCGGGGAGACCCTGAGCTTAACGGCGGAACCGGGGGCCGGGGATGCGTCGGTGGTGAACGGCGTGGTGAACGGCAACGCGGAGGCGGCGGCGGCGGCAGCGGCACCCGGTTGCGTGAGGAGGGTGCGGGTGGTGAAAGCGGAGGCGGGAGGGCTCGGGATCAGCATTAAGGGAGGTCGGGAGAATCGGATGCCGGTGCTGATCTCACGGATCTTCCCGGGATTGGCGGCGGAGAGGAGCGGAGCGCTCCGGTTAGGCGACGCCATCCTCGCCGTGAACGGCGTCGATCTCCGCGATGCCACCCACGATCAAGCCGTGCAGGCGCTGAAGAGAGCCGGCAGAGAGGTCATCCTCGAAGGTAACGCCTAAACCCCCCTTCTCTCCCCCTCGAATCCCCCGTACGGGCCCCCGGTGCTCCCCTGTCCCCCCGGTGCTCCCCCCGCCGTTACCGAGTCCCAACACACCCCCTTGCCGCTGTCACGGGGCTCCCCGACCGCCCTTGGGCCCCTTTTCCGGGTGCGGGACGCCACTCCCCCCCACCCCAGAGTCCCGGTACGTGTGTGTGTCCCCAGAACCCCCAACCCCAGTGTGCCCCCTCTGGCACGGGGACAGGGACTGGAGTGTCTCTTCCCTGGTCGGAGTGTTCCCTCTGCGGCGGGATGGGAACCCCTCACAGCTGGGGACAAGGATGAGACAGCTTCACTGACTGTGTCCCCTCAGGACAGACCTGGGATCCCCTGGGATAGACCTGGGGTTCCCCAGGATAGACTTGGGGTGCCCTGGCTGCAGGGTCGCCCTGGACAGGGTGTCCCCTGTCTTTGGTGATGGAACCTTCAGGGTGGGCAGGTTTCCCCAGGGAGGGCTGTGGCCTCGGGGGTTGGTTTGGGTCTTCCCACATCCCTGTGGGCTCCGTGTCCCTGCAGGTTCTGTGTCCCCATGGGCCCCGTGCCCACGGCACAGCCGGCTCAAGACTGGCCTGACGGAGCTACTGGCTCCTGCCCGACCTGTTCCCGGCAGCCTGACAAGCTCGGGCAGGACTTGCCCAGCCCGTTGGCGCAGCACGGGGCTCGTGCCATGGGGCACTGCAAGGACATGAGCCCCCTGTGATGCAGATCAGGGTGGCCCATGCAGGTGTGCCACACACTCTGTCCTGGTGTCCTGGCACGTCCATCTGTCCTCCAGTTGTGTGAGTCTGCTCCATTGATACAGTGCCTGTTGGGCACTGAGCATGGAGATGGTGCTGCTGCTTGCCTGCTTGTTCCTGGCACACTGTGCCAGCCCAAGGGGACATGGGTGGGCTCCCTGGAGTGGACACAGCTGGCATGGGGTGGCTTAGCCACGGCTGGGGTGCTGTGGGGGCTGAGGTGGAGATGTTGCATTGAGCTTGGTGCTTGGGCCAGGGCCACCAACAGAGGCAGCCAGAGTCCCCACGGGACCCCAGGCCGGATTCACCGCGTCCTTCCTCGCACTGCCCGGCCGTTTGATCCCATCCCTCAGGAGCCTCCAGCCCCGTGGTGTGTTTGTCCCTCGCTTCCGCCACGGGCATGGGTGCTGCAGCAGCCGCCTCTTCCCTTCCTTTCCCTTCCTTTCCCTTCCCACTGCAGCTGGGCACTGCTGGTCCGATGGCTGCGATGGGACCGTCCAGTGTCCAGCTGGCATCAGTGACCCTAGAGAGGAGCTGGGAGGGACATTGGCTGTGCCATCCAGCCCTGTCCCTCCTCACCAACCCTGGAGCTGTGACCACCCTGGCAGGCGCTAAGCCTTCTCCTGAGCCCTGTGCCAGTGGTGGAGGTGTGAGCATCAGCCCTGTGCCAGCACCTCAGTGGGACTGGTGTCACCTGTCCTGGGTGCTGGGTTTGGCCACAGGGCCCACGCCAGGTGCCTCCCCTCAGGCCACAGGCCCATGTCATGCTCTGTGACCCTGGGGGAAGGGAGCCCTTCTGCCCCTGGGGAAGCTGTGGGCAAAGTGTGGCTGTGGGCAACGTTGCCAAGGGCATGGGCGGGCACAAGCCTTGGGACACCTCACTGGTGTTCCCTGCTGGAGGCAGGGGGCTCAGCCCCTATGGGACCTGTGTGAACCTGGCACTGCTGTGCAGCCGGAGCAGTTGTCTTGTCTTCCTGCGGCGGGACGGGCGAGGGGTGCAGGTGACAGCTGGGTTTCCTTTGTGGTGAGCGTGTAGGTGGGGCAACAGTGGCTGTGCTGGGGTGGCTGTGTTGGGGCAGCAGTGGCTGTGCTCGGGTGGCTGTGCCGTGGTAACAGTGACTGTGTGACAGTGGCTGTGCTGGGGTGGCTCTGTAGGAGCAGCAGTGGCTGTGCTGGGGTGACTGGCTGTGCCAGAGTACCAGGGGTTGTGCCAGGGTGACTGTGCTGGGTCAGCTGTGTGCTGGATACCAGCTTGCCAGAAGTAGAAAGGGTGGTTGCAGATGCCACCACCCCACTGCCAGTCTCATGCTTGTTGGCACGAGGTGCTCCGTGCTCCTGCCTGCACCATGGATATGTCCCACTGAAAACTGGGAGCCATATCTGCTGCCATCCCCACTGGCAGATGCAGTCCTGGGCTTCCATCAGTCCCAGTCACCAGCAAGAGCCCACGCTCCTCCGGCAGCGCCCCAGCACAGCACTCAGGCTCTGGTGCCGCTGACTGCCCAGCTCAGCCTCTCACCCTCCTGGCTTCAGGGCTCTGTTGGAGTTAGTGTTGGCACCGTGGGGTCACGGCACTGTGGGCTGGAACCCCCATGGGCTGAGCTCCCGCCCAGCACTGGAGGCAGCTGCCCACATCTGGCAAACATCTGCTGAGTGGCCCCGTGGCGGGAGCTGCCGGCCGTGCTGCTGCCCGCGGCACTGCCTGCCCTGCCCAGCCCGGCAGCAGGATTAGGGGTGCAGGGACGGTGGTAATCCTGGGATCAGCGTGGCGGCAGCTAATATTAACTCCTGTGCTGCCCACAGCGAGGACAGGCGCCTCGTGGCAGCACGGTGGCTCAGCAGAGCCAGTGGGAGGGTATGGGGCCGGTGTCTCCTGCCCACTCCCCATCCCTGCTTCCCATCCCTGCTCCCCCTTCCCGCACGGCAGACCCACAGCAGGGGATTGCAGCGGCATGATGTGGGCCCCACTGCCACTGTGGTTCCCACCCCAGCAGGCCTAGCTGGCTCCACAGATCCTTTCACCACTCGCTTTCCAGGCGTTACAGCCTATTTGCTGTTTTGGTTTGGTTTTCCCTCTTGCCGCCCCTTCTCTGTCCCCAGCGCGTCCCTCCCTTGGCCTTGGCTGCTGGGGCTCAGCTGGGCGGGGGTCCAGGGCTAACGTCAGCGGGTTGGTGCTGGGGTGGGATAGTCCGGGGGGAGCAGGAGCAGGAGCTGGAGCTGGTGCCTCCTTCCTTCCTTCCCGGCGTAGGAGCCGGGATGTCTTGGCTGCACACCCTCCGGAGGCCGGCTGCCGTCGGGGCATAAGCGGCAGCACAAGGTCAGCCGCCGGCATTGCCTGCGGCGCTGGAAACTTGGCGGGCGCAGTCCTGGCTGCTCCAGCAGCGACGGGGCAGGATGGGACCAGGATGGGCTGCAACCTGACCTCCTGCCCAGCACCATTGTCCTGTGCTGCCTTCCCCTTCCTACACCCACGCCGTCACCAGGATGAGCTGCCAGCACCGTCCTTCACTCAGGACATCCCCGTCCCAGGGAGAGTGGGACCTCCCAAGACTCTCCAAGCCTTGGTGTTTGCAGGGAGGGCACGTCACCCCACAGACAGAGCGTCCCTGGGGCAAAGGGCTATGGCATTGGGGTGCAGGACCCTGCCCAACCTTGACTGTCCCCCCCACTACCCCCTCAGTGAAGTTCATGCGGGAGGTGACCCCCTACATCAAGAAGCCATCGCTGGTGTCGGACCTGCCATGGGAGGGGGTGGCCCCACAGTCCCCCAGCCT